CAGAGAAAGACTTCTATCCACTGGTTCATTCCCTAAGTGGCCACAAAGGCCAGAGCTGAGCTGATCTGAAGCCAGGAGCCAGGAGCTTCTTCTGAGTCTCACACGTGGGTGCAGGATTTCAAGGCTTTGGGCCAGCCTCTGCTGGTTTCTCAGTCCACAAGCAGGGAGCTGGATGGGAAGTAGAGCAACAAGGACATGAACCAGGACCCATATGGGATCCCAGAGCTTAGCTAAGTGAGGATTTAGCCACTGAGCCATCATGCCAGAGCCTTGCCTACTTTTACTGAGCTCATATTCATCTCTCAAGATACCAGCAGACAGGTGAGTGTTTATCTTGGCAGTTGAGACACCACACTCTGGGGGCCAGTGCTGTAGTGTATGGAGTTAAGCCACTGCATGCAACACTGGCATCACATATGGCCACAGGTTCCTGTTCTGTTTGTTCCACTTCCAGTTCAGCCCCCCTGGGAAAGCAGCAGAAGAGAACTCAAGTACTTGATCCTCTGCACTCATGTCAACGATCCAGATGAAGCTCCTGGCTCCTGTGTCCCGGCTTCAGCCTGGCCCAGCTCTGGCAGTTAAGGCCATTTGGGGAGTGGGTAAACAAATGGAAGGATTTCTCTCTAACTCTGCCTTTCAAACCAAACCAAGCCAAACCAAAGAAACAAAATCAAAAACCAAATCTTAAAGAAATAGAAGAACTGCATCCTACGACTGGGTACCTGGGCTCTATTCCCAGTTCTAACTCCTAACTTGAGCTTGCTGCTATTACAGACCCTGGAAGGTAGCAGGTTATGGCTAAACTAGTCGGGTATCTGCCACTCAGAAGAGAGACCTGGATGTAGTTCCTGGCTCCTGGCTTTGGCCTGGCTTAGCTCCAGCTGCTACAGGCATCTGGATAGTGAACCAGCAGAGGGGAACCTTCCATCTCTTTCTTTCTTCCACTGAAACAAATAAAGGCAAACTAAAAAATATATATACATAAGGGAAAAAAGAAAAAAAACTTTATAAAAGATAACCAGTTGGAGTTTTCTGTCAGGACTCTGTCCCCATTTCAGTTCATTCCATGGAAATCATGCCTATGTTTCTTCAACAACTAGGTAATTAGCTGTAATAAGACAAATTAGAGAAATAAATCACATTTTCCTTGGAGATTTCAACCTGCATATAAACCCTCAGCAACACTCTCAGCTCTAATGATTGTTTTTAACACTGTTTTGGGTAATATATTTTTTAAAAGATTGATTTATTTGAAAGAGAAAGAGAGAGAGAAGTTGAGAGAGATTTTCTACATCCTAGTTCAATCCCTAGATTCTCACAATGACTTGGGTGGTCCATCTCAAAGCCAGAAGCCTATAATTCCATCCGAGTCTCCCCCATGGGAAGCAGGAACCCAAGTACATGATTTGTCCTTTGTTGTCTTCCCAGATGAATTAGTCAGAAGCTGATTTGGAAGAGCAGGAGCCATGACTTGAACCAACACCCAGATGCAGGATGTGAATGTTTCAAGTGGGGGCTTACTTAACCTGACGTTCCACAGGATCAGCCCCTTTGTTTTATTCCTAAGTAGTTAGTCCATTTACTACGACTCTAAAACAGTAAGGATGAGAGCACTTCAAAAAGATCATGGAAAGTGAGACTAAAATATGTTTTCTGGTGCAAAAAGTGTTTGATATTCATGTATTTCCATTAGCTTCTGAAGACTCCATCATATAAGCTAGTTAAATACAGCTTGCTGGAGTGAGCATCTGGCACAGTGATACAATCCCTGTTTGGGATACCTGCATCTCATGTGAGAGGTTTTGGTTTGAGTCCCAGGCACTCTGTTTTAGATCCAGCTTTATGTTAAAGCAGCAGAGGATAATCCAAGTACTTGGGTCCCAGCCATCCATATGCAAGACCCTGATGGTGTTCCAGGCTCCTGTCTTGGTCCTAACCTAGCTGTGGCTGCTGTAGGCATTTTGGGGAGTGAAACAGAAATATAGAGGCTGTGTCTCCATTTGTCTCTCTCTTCCTTCTAGAAAATGAAAATCCATCAATAATGTACAGTGGAAAGTTCATCTCCTACCATGTTCCCCAGAGATAACCTCCACGTTCCTTCTCCCAGAATGAACTCCAATGTCAACAGTTTCTTATGAATATTTCCAGGCACACAAAAGCCAGAATCACACCACATATAGATTTTCTCAGTTCTTAGACCAGTTGAATCATGCCCTGTTCATTGCATTTTGGTTTTTCAGCAGAATATTTTGCAGATTGCTCCATATATGTCCTTGAAGAAGTTATTTTTTTGATAGTCACTTCTAAGATTCCCTCAAATCAGTGGATTATGTTTTGTTTAACTCATTCTCTGTGCATGGGCATTTAGGTGATTTCCAGCCTTTTGCTCGTACAAATTGAGCTTCAATAAATAACTATCTACACAGTCATTTCCCAGAACTATGCGAACACTTCAGCAAATCCATGGAAAATGAGATTAATAGATACATTTATTTTGGTGCCAAAGATTTTTGAAATCTGTGCAGTTCCTTTTTTCCATGTACTGTTCGTCAACTTTTTGAAGTACCAGCTTGACTAAGTGTGTGTGAATCTGTCTATGGGACGAATTCCTGGAGTGCACCTGCTGAGTCAAAAGATATGCATTTTTTAATCACAGGAGATATTGTCATATCACGCTTCATGAGAGTTGCGATAATATACATTCCTCCTAGCAATATTGGATATGGTCAGTTAATATCGACTTGCCCACACTATGTGGGCCACACAGAATGAATTTCCATGAACTTTTTGGCATGTCAGAATTCTTCTGAAAAGTGTCAGTCAGCAGCCTCTATTCCATGTCTTGACAGATGTAGGGGACATCTGGTTTGGTCTTCAGCATACCCTACCTGTAGCAAGCCATTTGGGACTTCTTTTGGGTTTCACTCTTTCTTTCCAGCAGGCCCCTTTCTGATCTCAGAAGTGATTGGTGTTAGCTTGGACATGTGAGTCAAGCTGGACCAGAGATCTTCCTAGGATTTCCACCGCAACTTTTGGGAAATAAATCATTCCTGTTCTACCATTACAGACCAATGGAGGCTTGGGGCTTCCATGGCCAGTGAAGGTTTTAGTCTGAATACCTCTCCATTTAGGGCTACAAAGTCAAGAACAGCCAAAATGAGTGGTGGAGAAAAAGGCATTGTCCTGTTCACATCCACGGGCCCCTGGATCCAATACTAAGTGAAGCTCATTTGCAATGCATTTCTGGATTATATCGCAAAGGATTTCTAGGTAATATGGCTTGGTAAATGCCATGGCCTCTTCTGCATCCTAATCCCTTCATCTGTTCATCATTTCATCCTCATCAATTTCTGCATTTTTATGCAGAGGGATTCATCCCAGGCTATGAAGCATTCACTCACACAAATCTCATTTGTGAAAAAGAATTCTGTATGGGGAAAGAATCGCATTGACATGAACAATACACTTTCCCTTTATTTATCTCTAGGGCCATGCACATTCTCACAGCATCTCCTCCCTTGGTGGAAGCTGTTGGAAGCTTTTGTCACAGTCTAGCAATGACTGACCAAGGCTGGGAACTTATTTGATATTCTTGGGGGAAAAAGGACAGTGAGTCCAGTTGTGGTTCCTTAGATTTAAAACAAAAGTAATGATGAAATTTCTGGTGCTGACATAAACGTGATAGAACGTATCCTGGAGCAATTCTATCAGCTCCAGCTATCTGAAAGGACCAATATTTGACTATTTCTGACCTGCAAAATGATGATTTATGTTAAGTTATGTGAGGCCTCTCTAAAGTAGATGAAGTAAGGCAGAGAACATCTGTTTGGGTCTTTGGTACAAGATTTTGTTTGAAGAAGGTTCTGAGACTCAAAAAACATACATTAAAAACACTGGAATAGAAGACTTTTATGGTACTTTTTAAGTTAAGTTAAAATACTGTCCTTTCTTTTCCCACGCCGCCTGACTCACCCTCCCCGGTGGGCCATATACCATTCATGTCAGTCCAGAGGAGGCTTCTCAGGGACCCAGTGGCCTTGTAGAGATGGCTGAGGGTACTCTCCACCTGCACAGTTCTCAGAGCTCCATGACCAGCTTTCTGACTTCAACTTTGACCTTTGTCTCAGATTCCCCAAATTTGCTTTTCATCTGTATCCTCTTGGACATTTGGACCCTACTCTCCCTTTGGCTCGATGGTTGTCAAACAAAACTCGACTACAGACTTTGTTCTAATATGGCCCCATGAAAGATGGCCACATTTGGGTCACACAGCTGTTCTCAGACTGCTTCCAGGGAGGGGGAGGTACAATCAGAGGCCAGCTTGTACCTGTGCCAGTGAGATTGTCAGAGCCTGGAGCTGGGCGGGGGCTGGGGCTGGGGTGGGGAGAGGTCGGTGTCCTGTACAAGGTGGGAAGACTTGGTGTTCATCACCGTTGTCATCACTGTCAGCTTGATGTAAGTTCTTGAAGAAGGAAAATTTAGGGATTTCTGTCTGTATCTTGCAGGAGGCAGTAGGTATGCTTGGGGAAGGCATAAGGAAGAATCAGGAAATAGTGCCCCTTGTGGAAGCCCAAGCCCTGTCTGAGGATGCAGTCATTAACCAGGTAATGTGTTGGTTTGTAAAGGAGTCTCCAAAGGCTGAGGAAGTGGCACTCACCACCAGCCTTGCCACACAGAACCTTCTGGAAGACGGAGGGTGGAGGGGAACATAGAAGTTAGAATGAGAGTGACCAAGACAGCAATGCTGAGGGGGTTATGATGAAAAGAGAAATGCATCTCAAAAAAGAATGAAGACTTTCAGAAAGAGGAGAGAGCTGGGGTGTTTGCAAGGACTGGGGGAGATGCTCCTGGGCAAGGAGGTTTGTATGGTGCATCTCCCAAGGCACCTGCAGAGCTGGGTGACCCCCTCCCTTGGATGCTTCACAGGCTCCGCCCCACAGATCCTGCCTCCTGGCAGAAGGCTCTGTGGGAAAAGCTGTGCTGTGATTAAGATCTTTTAATTAAGGAAGTCGTTTGCCAGGATGCAACAAGAGGCTGATGGAGAGTTTGTTCAAATTGGATTTTTTTTTCTCCTGCTTAACAAGAAAAATAATAAGAGGAGCTCTGCTTTGTGTAAGTAAGGGGAAATGTCACTCTGAAGGGAGCCATGTGAACTCCCTGTGCCTGAATTCATTTGTTCATGCGTAAATTCGTTTCCGGTTCATACGTAGTGTCACCCTCACTCCAATTGCTGAACACCAAACACTGACTGAATGCTGATGGTGTGCCAGGTGCTGTGGCTAGTCGCTTTTGGGAATTTCCTCCTTCACCCCACGTGATAACCTTGTAAGGTACATGCTATGGACCACCCTTTTTCTGCAGATGATCAAATTTCCAGTGCACCAGGAGGACTGTGTCTTTTTCCTGTTGGCAGGAAAGCTGATCACGAAAGTGGAGACAGCAGAAGAGGATCGTGTTGGACTTCAGTTTCCTTCCATGTGAATGTTCTCTCTGTGTGTTCTAATACCCTTGGGTAAGTCCTTGCTGACTGTGCCCATGGGTCTTGTGCTTCCTGTCCTCCTGCCTCAGTTTCCCATGGACCGTTTACAGAATGTATGGAGGATCCAGGACAGCCGATGTGTAGGTCGTGAACCCAGGCAGACATGAACATGCTGCTGTCAGTCATTCTGTATGTTCCTTCCTTATGTCAGTGCAACTGGATCTAGTAACAAGGAATAGTCACTGGGCGCTCAGGGAAGCCCAAGTCCAAAGCTTGCACCTCTTTAGGAAGTGCTGTTGATGCCAGCTCCAAGCCTAGGTCTGAATGCTTACATGATTCTCTCAGGTCCACCATTTCTTGTCTGAAGTCACCCAATAGAATTGATCCAAGGGCAGCTTCTGAGCTGATTGCTATTTAGCCAGGATTCCACCTGCCTGGCTTTTACCCACATATCCACTATCCTCACTGCTGTCCTTTTCTTGTCTAAGCTCAGAAGCTGAGTCTTGGCACCAAGCCCTGATCCAAGAGTCCTACATGTTGCGTTGGCTTCCCTTTCTTTGTGAAAGCTGACAGAGCCGGGTTAGTGAGAGTTTGGCTGCCATTCTATCTGTCCACCGCCCAGTCATCCAGACTGGTCAATCTCATCCCACTTACTCTCTTTTTTATTGCTTTTATTTGAAAGACATATTTTTACAGAGAGAGAAGGAAAGACACAGAGAGGTCTTCCATCTGATGGTTTATTCCCCAAGTGGCTACAATGGCCAGAGACAAGCCAGTTCTAAGGTGGGAGCCAGGAGCTCCTTCTGGACCTCCCATATTGGTTGCAAGAGCCCAGGAAGTTGTTCCATCCTCCACTGCTTTTCCAGGTCATAAGTAGGGAGCTGGAGCATAAGTGGAGCAGCTGGGACATGAACCAGTGTCCATATGGGATACTGGCACTTACCGGTAGATAATTAGCCTATATGCCACTGCACTAGCCCCATTCCCCTCCTTCTTTGCGTCAGATCAGGAAAGACATGTTCCCCAGGCTAGATCAGAGCCCTCTAAGAGCTTTCTGCCAGTCCTGACAGGAACAGTTTAGTTCTCCCAACGACCAGCTAAGCTTGCATCAGCGCTAAGAGCGTTTGTGAGAGAGGCCAGTGCCTTGGGGGACGCTCTTTGTCCCCTGTGTTCCACTTCTGCAGGGTGCATCATGCCCCTTGTTCAGTTTCATGATCCAATGAGTTTTTGACATGCTTAGCTTGGACGAGTCTGGATTAAGTGTTTGACACCTGCAACTGAGAGAGTTGTGCCTATGACACTTTTCTGTGAGGCATTCTTCATTTCTTATGCCCAGCCTCAGCTTTTGGCAGAAGACACAGGAGAGCAGGTGGAGCTACATCTGTACTCTGCTCCGCTGTGTATTCAAGGCTTTCGTTTGTTTGCTTTTCATCTGAGATGTTTTTATTTTGTTTTTGCTTCTGAATACTGTTTTATAGCTGGCTGTGTGCAGAATTTTGCTAATTTTTTCTTAAATTTCAACCATATATAAAATAGAATGCTGTATCCTTCTTGTCTCTGGATGTTTTTAAGGTTTCTCTAAGCCTAGAATTGTTTTTAAACGATTTATGTATTGAAATGCAGAGCAACAGAGAGAGAGAGAGATTTTTTTATCTGCGGGTTCCCTCTTCACTCTCCAAATGACCACAGGAGCCAGGCCTGGGCCAGACCAAAGTCAAAAGCCATGACCTCTATCCAGGCCCTCAGTGTGGATGGCAGAAATAAAAATGCTTAAGGAATCACCGGCTGCTTCCCAGGCACGTCAACTGGAAGCTGGACTGGAAGTACAAGGACCGTGTCTCGAATCAGCACTCCAGAAGGGGCTGCCAATGTCACAAGTGACAACTTAGCCCGCTGTGCCACCATACCAGTCGCTTTTAATATAAAAATTTTAAAAAGCTTATTTGACATATTTCATGAGTTCTGTGTGGCAGGCATCATTCTTGGTGCTGGAGGTGAGGCAGTGAAAAAAAAAAAGTTTACAGTGCACAGACAAGGTCATCTCAGATAGCAGTGCGCTATGGGAGGGAGACAAATCCCAGCACCAAATTAGTCATGAGAGAAAGCTGCTTTGGGGAGAGGGCATCTGAGCTGAGCCCGTAAGAGCGAGAGGAAATCCTTCCTGTGCGATGACCTGGTGGGAGGGTTCCTGGTAGTCAGAGCAGTGTCTGCAAAGTCCCTGATGAGAAAGAAGCATGCTGTGTAGGTGGTGAAGGTCCAGGTAATACGTGCCAATGTGGAGAAATAACTAGGAATCTGGACCAAGGTCACTATGTTCAGTGGGTCAGGTTGTGCACTGCCCAGTTCTAGGGAGGACCATTCGTACTGACCAGAAGTCAGCAAACTTTTTCCATAGAGGACCAGATTGCAAATATTTTAGGGTCTGTTGGCCAGATGGTCCCTATCATAGCTATTCAATTCTGCCATTATAACCAACACCAAAGCATCTGCAGATGATAGTAAATGAGTGGGTACGACTCCGTTCTAATAAAACTTTATGTGTTGATACTGAAATTCAATTTCATAAATTAAAATAATTATGATTTTTTTCCCCCTCTGGCATTTGAAACTTGTAAGAGTCATAGCTTGTGGACTGCACAGCAGGTAGCAGACTAGATTGCAGCACATGGATTACAGCCATGCCCACTCATTTGCATGCCACCTGCAGTCAGCTGCATTCTTTGGGCAACAGGTGCAAGCCAGACAGAGGCAGGCGCTCTGATGATGAGGAAGGCATTCCTCCTGGCTTGAAGAACACTTGCAGATGGTTCATTTTGCAAGGGCCAAACAAAGCCTGCCCTGGCAGTAAAGTCTCCCAGGCCACTTTACCTACTAGTGGTTTCAGTGTTCAACTATAAAAACGTCCTTGCATAAGCTATGTAGCTGGTTGACAGAGTATGCCCCAGGGATTCTTTGAGTCTCAGGCTGGACTCAGCTAAGGGCATCACTAGTCTGTACCTGTTGAATTATTTTTGGAAAGTCCAGGGAGGGACAGGCAAGGGTGGTGAGCTTGGAAGAGGGGGTGTGCCCAGGTACACAGGTGGGGTTTAATTGGGATGACTTGCGGCTAATTCCACTGTCTAATTTGTCTGCATTGGCTTGCCCTTATAAATGGCTTTTTACAATGTTTTAATGATTGTCGTTTATGAAAAAGCTATCCAGCTGCTCTGTTGTAATTGTGCATCCTTTGCTGATGACTCTCTGTAGTCACCTTTGAATTCTGTGTGGCTACTCACCGTTCAGTGATTTTTTTACCTGGGGTCTTTGCTCCTTTTCTTCAGTAGGTACTGGTTGATCTAGAGCAAATGTAAAGACACACTCGGTCACAACCATCATCTCTTTGTCGGATTACAGCAGTAGCTTGCAATTTGTCCCCTTGACTTTGCTCCAAATGTATGCTCAGCTAAGGAGCCCCTGTGATTCTACTAACAGACAGGTACTGACTCTAGGGTGTCAATGCTTCTGTCTCCCACGGGACTAAATTCCACACTCTTGCCTTGACTTAGAAGATCCAGTGAAGAAGGAGTCTTAAACGGTGTGTGTCCTGGAATCCTCTGGAAGTGTGACAAAACCCATGAATTCCCTTCCTGGGACATTTTTTAATGTATTTCTCTATTTGGGATGTTTTTCAATAAAATACACTGGACTTTTAAAAGAAACCAATTGTCTTGGCCTGCTAGGACTGCTGCAAGAAAATCCCACAGACTGGATAACTTAAGCGAGAGACTTCTTTTTTCCTCTCTCACAGTTCCAGAGGCTAGAAGTCTCAAACCAAGGGTGCCGATGTGGTAAAGCTCCGATGTGGGCTCTAAAGCTGCCTGCTGGCTCTGGTCTCATAGGGCTTTCACTTAGCGTGTGTATATGGAGAGAAAGGCATTCCTCTCTTCTCCTCCTAAGGACACTAATCCCAACAACAGGTTCCTGCCCTCATGATTTAATTACCCTCTAGAAATGCCTTCCTTCAAATACCATCATACTTAGGGTTAGGGCTGCAGCATAGGAATGTTGGAGTGATTGAAACACTCTGGCCATGAAACCAATTCATTGGAACGGAGGGGCAAAACTATTACAAAACAGGACACAGTGGCCAACTTGTCTTCTTGACCAGCTATACCTGCTGTACCACAATGCCGTTCACCTATGTGATTCTTTTTCATGAGAAATATAATCAAACTATGTTAAAAGTTAATTTTTGAATGACTTCTTGGCCTATGAGAGTATACGTTTTAGTTTTTAGCTTAGATGAGAAAATCCAATCAAGAAGTGGCCACTGCCAAGGCAACAGGTGTATCTATCATGTTGGATTTGACTCTTTTCCAACATGGTTCATGGACTCCCTTCCTCCTTGGATGCCCCCCATGGGCCCTGAATGGTGTAGTATAGCTTGCCCCTTGTTGCCTCCTCCTTTCTAGTGTAACTGGCTTTCCTATTTTTTCACTTTCCAAACACGTTTCTGCCCCAGTCCCTGAGTTTGCCATTGCCTCTTCCTGAACTGCCCTGCCGGCCATCATTGGTGTGGAAGGCTTCCCCACTCCTTTCTTGTCTTCTAATACCTTCTTCTCAACGAGATCTGCTTTAAAGATAAGAGCTCCCAACTTGGGCTTCCTATTCCAGTTTCAGACTTTTCGTTTTGTTTATTTTGGCACTGTAGTCCAAGACTGTGTTTTGCTTAATGCTTGCCTCTGTTCCTCATGAACTTACTAGGATAGAAGATCCATTTAGGTGGAGTTTCATCTGTTTGGTTTACTACTGTCTCCCCCATGTGTAAACCAGTGCTGAAAGCAGAGTAGACACTGCAGATATTTATTAATGAGATGCACAAACTTATATGCTTATTGGTCTAAGAAAAACATAATCAGGGTGAGAAGGGAGGAGGAGGTTAACTTTGTTGCTTATGTTTTCTCTAAACTTTGGACTAGCAAATCTCATTTTATCATTGGTCTTCACTATTCCCTTAGAAATCTGTTCCTATGTGCTAATGAAATTGTTCAAGAATCCAGTGTAATTCAGCAGCAACTCAATTTCAAAGCGGTACTTATCTTTGTGAGTTAATACTTGAGGGACAGAGTGTCGAAGTTGACCAATCCCGGGCCTCTGCTGGCGTAATCCCGAGTGGGAACTTTATGTCTCTGATCCTGATTGTGTCAGCTGTAAGAGGAGGTTAACTCTACTGACCTCCAAAGGGT